AAGTTTGGCTTCAGCCGGACATCCCCAAACTTTAAAGTAGTTTAATCGTGGTTTCCTTCCCGTCCATAATTCAAAAAGTGTCTTAGGAACAGATTTTGAGGGAACACGATTTAGGATGTGTACGGCTGTTTTAAGTGCTTCGGTCCATAAGAATTGCGGAAGAGATGAGTTTGCTTACATACTACGTACCATGTCCATAAGGGTACAATTACGCCTTTCCGAAAACCCCATTTTGTTGAGGTGTTCCTGGCATAGTAAATTGATTAACTATGCCATTAATCTTGCAAAAGTCAACAAATGGTCTAGGAGCTTGACCCACATCCGTGTGTCGACCATAATACTCACCACCTCTGTCCGATCTCACTACCTTTATTTTACAGACGAGTTGATTTTCAGCCTCGGCTTTAAAGGTCTTAAACATATCAAGAGACTCGGACTTCTCATTAATTAGGTACAAATAAGTGTAGCATGAATAATCATCTATAAAAGTTATAAAGGACTTATAACCGCCTAAACCGGGAGGAAAAGGTCCACATATATCGGTATAAATAACTTCAATTAAACTTGAACTCCGATTGGACCCTTTCTTATTTTTATTTACCATCTTCCCTTTAATACACTTGGTACATGTATCGAAGTCTGAGAAATCAAGATAATTAAGAATTCCATCTTTCACAAGACGTTGCATTCTTTCTTGTGATATGTGGCCTAAGCGTTTATGCCACAATTTTGAGGAACTCTCTATATCTCTCTTTCTTTTAGTTCCATGGCTACATTCATTTATATTCATAGTAAGTAATGATTCCGAAAATTTATCATCTAGATTTAATTAAAGAGGTTTCCCTTCATCACACCGAAACCAACAATCTTAGAATTATAATACATAATCACTTTATTATCAATGAAGTTGAAATTGTATCCAGTAGTATTAAGTTTAGATACAGATATTAAATTCCGAGTTATACTCGGTACATACAAGGTATCTTGAAGATGTAATCTATTTTTACCTTTAAGTAATAACGAAACGATCTATATTGCTTCCACCTTGACTTCATTTCCATTCCCAACTTTAATGATCCGCTGATTGTTTTCCAATGTTTTCTTTATACGAAATCCCTGTAAAGAATTGGTCACATGAATCATGGAACCCGTGTCAATCCACCAAGTATTGGAAGGCACTCTAATGAAAAATGATTTACAAATCATATAGTTAAGGAGTTTACCTTTCTTAGTTAGCCACTCTTTGAATTTAGGGCAATCATGTTGAGTATGATCGAATTGTTTGCAAAACCGACACCTAACTTTGCCCTTCGTTCCACTTGTACCTGAACCGTACTTTTGAGCCTTATTGGGAGTAAACTTCCCTTATATGGACCCTTTCCGTAGTTCGAGAACTTCCTCTAATTGGCGTTAGTAGTAGTAAGATGAACAACGTCCGGTTTTTCTATTTTTAGACGCTTCTCTTCTTGAATACACATGGCAATAAGTTCATATCTTCCACTTCTCTTTTTGGGTATTGTAATTAATTTTGAATGGCGCAAATTGAGAGGGTAATGAAGTCATTATGAAATGGACAAGGAAAGCTTCAGATATTTCCATGTCTAAACTTTTGAGTTTGTTTGCCATATCGTTCATGATCATAATGTGCTCACGCACACCACTAACACCATCTTACTTTGTGGTGAGCATTTTAATATAAGGGTACTTGCATGTGCTTTAAATGTACCCTTAAATTGCTCCTCCATGGAAGTCAAGTATCTCGTAGCCGTTTCAGAGTTCGGGATTGCTCCCCTGATGGCTAAGGATATGGAGTTTTTTTTATTATCATAAGGGACATGCGGTTTGAACGCTCCCACTGTTCAAATATACGCTTTTCTTCAGGTGTGCTCTTGTCAGTTAAAAGAGTTGGGCGTCCAACCCTTAAAGCATAATCCAAGTCCATCACTCCAAGAGCAATTTTAATTTGCTCATTCCAGGAAGAAAAATTAGTCTCATTCAGCGGTTCAACTCCGGATATATATCCGGAGGTTTCCGTCATTATTGAGGCTAGCATGTTAGAGTTAGAAAAATTAGGCTCATAACGGAACTAAAAAAAATGATAATAAATTATGGGGCACACACATATTCATAAAACATAAATCAGTTTAATCTATTACAAACACATATAATAGATCATTATTAAACCTAAGATTCAATCGTTGACCTTTCGTTGGTCCAATCAACAATTAAATCATTGATATTCTAAGCAAATTATGACGACTTATCTAAAATGTATTACCTTTGGGCAGAAAACATGTCAAAAAAGTCAATAATGCAAAAGAAATTCTATCTAATAATTCACAGTTTGTTCCTCCGTTTGGTTGAAAAAAACCATGAATTATCAAACATATTAAATATGAATTATTTTTTATGTTAAATACCAACATAGAACAATCTTTCGTTGGAACGATTATTCGATTTGAAATACAAAATTCTTTTGAATAACAAAAGTAATTATGCGGCAACGATAAACAATAATTCTGCATCTCAATCGTAAGTTTTCTTATTATGCAGAATAAGAGAACATAGAGATAAATAGAATTAATTGCAATAAAGAATGTCATTTAATACACATAAAAAGGTTATTGCTAATCAAATAATAATAATAACTTCGTAGACATCAAAAAACTCTCTTCCAAAAAGAACCCAATCTCTATTTTAATGTTCTTTATTGCAAAAATATGAATCAGTGACCAAATCAATATGAAGCAAAGAATAATAAGATGCATAATTGGGGTTTTTATGATGTAGACAAAATATATATACATTAGAATCACGCTCTGATACCAAATGTAAATCAAATAACATAAACAGTAATAGGATCGAATTATCATTATCATGGAAAACATCCATGACTTTAATCTAGAAGATGAATAGTAAACTTACTTGTAGGAACACTTGAAATTGTCTTACTTGATGAAGCCATGATCACTTTTAATAATCTCTTTGATGCCAATCAATTATGATGAAGTTACAATTTTCTTATTGTGTTAAAGTCTCAACAATGAATGGTGCATTCAATTCAAGAAGAATGAAGGAGATGATATTTATATATTGACATCAAGAGGATTAAGGAAGAGATAACTACAAAATATAGTTATTTACAGTCGGTTACAGGGACCGGTATCGTCCATCGAGATAATCGAAAGGCCTGTATGTAATTAAGTCATAACTAAGATAATTAAATTAAACATTTATCRCTAATATAAGATTAACATAAATATTAATATAAATAGTCTAGACCATTAAGATATAGCAATTTTCTAACAATATATTCCCATATATTCATGGATGGATATATATTATGTACATCATCAAAATTTTATGCACTATGCATCTATTGATAAATATAAAAATTATGTGAATTCAAACCGATCAATTTATCAATTAATAAGTAGTGGCCGGTGACACAAAATAATTAACATAATATTAAACAAATCCAAAGTTAATGATAAAAAGTACGGTTTCATTAAAAACGAGATACAAACGGTTTTTTCTTCTTTTTCATCATTACCAAAAAGTTAAAAAGAGTTAAAGGAATTCAAACTTACAGCTTGTAATACCACATGCAATAACACCACCGCGAGGCTATAACCACTTTTTGTTAATTTTGGGGAAAATATGTCAAATTAAAGCAAATTCCTACTGTGTTAGCATGATCGAACAGTAGCATTGACACCCCTCCCTCTTTGAATCTGCCACTGTGAACATAGACCGGTTAGATCCCTGAGGCAAGAACCAGGACCAGTAGCAACCGGTCTAAGACCAATTGGTTAATCGATTTGTCCATCTTTATGGATTGACTATAACACAACTACTATACGACAATTTAACCATATTCTCCGATTCTAAAATCTACATTTGGGGAACCTTTACTAAACTCTTATCACGTAAGCACTTACCAGCTAGAGTTATCACCCTCACTAGCTACCTTACCCAAAGGCACGGTTTGACGGCTAAAAGACGACGCTCGATAGAGAGGACCGAATCCCCCCTATCACTTCCTCCGGGAATACGGGTAGGGAACCCCTTGTGGGGGCTGATTCGATGGAATTCTCAAACAGAATTATGGTAATCGTTAAGTGCTTACTAACTCGAATCCCTTACTTTGGTCCTTGCTATATTTCTTACCAGGTAAGATTCTCGATCCTTGCTTATGGGTAAGGTAAGTCATATCTGATAAACGCTTACCCGATAAAAGTTTGATAAACCGACTTTATGGTTTCTATTCATCATTTTTATTTGTTTACAATCATTGGTAGCTCTGGACCAATCGACTTCCTACTTTTATTGCAGTTGATTAAATGTACATATTTCACATGGACGATCACAAGTCAAACAGCCCAAGACCGATGTGACGTCAATCCATTTTTTCGAGTTTCATGTAAATCATTGCCTTGAATGGAACATTAAATGGTTTTTTCTTTCCTAAATATTTTTAGAATATCAAGATCAAACTTGTACATATATTAGTTAATTATATGGGTCTTAAAATTAACAACCAAACAAACGAAACGATCATCTAGCATTAGTCATTCATATATCTAACATTTCATGCTAAAACCATAGGGGACATCCCACTTCGTTGTCATGCTATTTGAAATTCCATAAATTTTGAGTTACAGATGGGGAAAAACCAATTATGATCCATCCTTTAACTGGTCAAAACATTGTCATGTAATCGGTTCCGATCCTTAAGCCGATTGATCCACTTTAATCAGTCTGTCAACCGATCGGCAAGCATCCCACATGACGCTATAGTTACCCATCATTTAAAAGAAACTGTATTTAATTTGGTTATAATCCAACCGTTCCAGGCCTTGATCATGCCCACCTCTACATTTTGTCGTAACAAAATCTTGGTAATTGTTTCTGAGAGGAGCTGAGAGAACGATGGAAAGAATGCGTGCTGATTGGGAATGATGTCGGAAACATACATCCCTACTTATCGCAAGCCGAATTTAGTAAACAAGAAACCAGAAACAACAAACCTAGTATATCCCACTCGCAAGTAAGGCCTGAGAGCGAGATATATGCAAACCAATCCTATCCTCTACCTCAAAAGGATAGAACGTGGCTTGTGCAAAAGTGTGAGCAAGAGAAAGAGATAGGCACAAAGAAACAAATAAAACTAAAAAAGGAAACACAACCATGATTCTATAAAAGAAAAAGAAATGAAGCAATATTTGTGTTTTGTGTTTGAGGCAAAGATCTATCTAATCATCATCTTCAGTATCTTGTAGGAGAACCCCTCTTACTTTTGATCTGCCATTTGTGCAAAATGATTAAGTAGTCAGAATGATTAAGAGACTTTCATGATATAGTGCAAAAGGAAATATAATTGTTTGATAATTTTTTACAATGAAATTATGGCGCTTAATGGTTAAGGGAGGCTCATGATACAAAATCATTCAGAGGGTTTTAGAACTATTAAGAGACAGACTTTTTTTTGCCAAACAAGATTCACCTCTTAATGATTCAGAGGCTGTCTCTTAATGGAACTATTAAGAGGTAACCAAACAACCCCTAAGGAACTATTAAGAGGGTTTTATACTCATAAATTGTCAACTCTTAACGATTCAGAGGTTGTCTCTTAATGGAACTATTAAGAGGTTTTATACTCATAAATTGTCTCCTAACTTTTTGACATAATTTACATTCTCTCCATTTTGCCCCAAATTGATCTTTTTCAGTATGGAAAACAAGAATTTACAAAAAATAAAACATTTACATTAAAACGAGACAAGAATACCGTTAATGATATTATTTTGAGAGCGATTAATAAATATTTTTGTTCAACTACGTGACTGATGCGCATGTGTCTTTTTATCTGGTTTGCCAAAATATAACAAGATAAGAAAATCAATCTAATATATCCGTACCTGCGATGTGCTGGTACTACACGGTTAGACGCTTTCATTGGGCTTGGATTCTGATCAGCTTGTTTGTCTGTGGACAATACACACACACTCATATATATAATAATTTTGGAGTTTCTTTAAAACGACAAAGGAACTTGCATACATCTCCAAAGGAACTTGAACCTACGTGTTATAGAGACTCGGTTGTACAATCGGACCAGAATCCATTGTTGTTCAAGGGTTCTTTTTGGTCACAAGACATATTTAAGCAGGAAACAAATTGTTACACCTACACCACTACACTAGCCATCGCTTGAGTAAATTTTCTTACACTATGAGAACATAAATACGTCAACGTGTAGTTTTGCATGGGTTCTATAGGAGAATAACCATCCGATAGATTTTTCTTTGACAGATTTTGAGGCATTCTTGTTTTAGGACTAGAAAGGTGGACAGGACGCGTTCATAAATCTAATGCATTTAAAAGAAATCTGTTACAAGGTTATTTTCGTAAATAACCCACTTATGCACTCTAGTGATACAAGATTGTTTCTGTTAAAACTTTCCTCAACTTCTAATATCATATAGAAAGCACTGCACATGAACAACTCTACTAAGAAATCAACAGGCATCTCAAGTTATTCATAGTTATGTAGACAGTTACCTGAAACATCATGGAAGGTGGTGGTAGCAGATGAAGAGGTTACTTTATCATGAATCTTGTGCCTTTTTGAATGAAGTGGGAAATCAACATGTGTCTGAATATGTTCACTCTTTTCCTGATACAACATACACATAGATCAGAAAACTAAGTAAATCACATCCTTGTTACTAAATAATTCAAAAGGCTACTAAATACCATGCAGCAAAAGCTTGAATCAATACACACTTGGCATTCTCTTAACAAAAGAAACAGGTTCCAACAAAGCTAGGATTCCCAAAAAGAAGTATGATAAATAAACACATGAAAAGTCAAAAGAAACCAAAGAGCAACCAGTAGAAAAGTTCTGTTATCAACCTCCTATCTATGCTGTTAATTGCGGCGCAATAGCGGCTCAATCTCGGATATCGGCCCTAAGCAGAATATAGGTGGTCAAATTGCGGTGAAAATAGCGGTAAAGCAACTATCGGCGCAATTTACCGTAATTTTGACCGATATTTAGGGTCAAATTGCGTTATCTTTTTGGGCATTATTTTGAGTCTTTGTTTTGGGCAGTTGGGCTTTTTAGATCTGGACTATGTTTTAACTTTGATCCATTAACATAACAATTACTTTCTTTTTAATATCAACCCAAGTTGGGCTTTTTAGATCTGAACCTATTGTTTGTGATTAGCTCGTTTATGAATACTTTTCCTATTTTATTTTGTGAAACTTGTTTAAGTTGATGGCTTGATGTTGAAACTATATTCTTAATTAAAGCAAATGATATGTTTATGTATGCATATATATATATATATATATATATATATATGTATATATGTATATATATAATTCTAAGAAATATTATATGCACTATTATACCACCGCTATTTTAATATTGGTCCTAACTGCAATTTTGTATTTTCACCGCTATAACAGCATAGCCTCCTATTCGGATCACATATGCATGACGTAACAAGAAGAATTAGTAGGGGAGGGGAAGTATGGTCGTGTCTTTTTTGGGGTATAAATAAAATATACTATTTCCTTTCCTCGTAGTGTGTGGGAGGGGATCACACTGTGGATTCGGTTAGTGTTTGTTTTTTAGCCTCTGTGGAGGATGGGGGTTCATTCATTCTGTTTTGTTATTCCATTGGTGTGAACCTTGGGAGAGCCCAGCCTCTCCAAAGCTGGTTTCTTTTCTTGTAATCACAAATTTTGCTGGTAAATCATATGAAACCCTATCAAACTATCAATTTGAGTACATCATTTTGCATGCAGAAATTTCCAACCAAAAGGGGAATATGCACAGACTCCAGCGATGTTGTTTATGTTGGAAATTGGAATCAGACAAATTTTTGAAAAGAATTGGCACAGAAAAGTAAGTCCCAAGGGGTGAAAGTTAGAGATTATAAAAGCCTGCTACTATGATATTTTGCTGAAGTTTGCAGGCACTTGATACAACAACTAGGGTACAAAGTTCAGGAAGCAAGGGCTAATTTCTGTGTTCCATTACACATGTTGCATATAGATTTTGAAATTAAAATAGAATTAAGGTCTGTGTTTAGATGATTAGGCCACAAAGTACCCTATATATCTAGACCTTTCCCAGCATAATGAATATATTTCTGAACTTCAAGGTTAGGTTTGGGGGTGGGAATGAAAATCTCTACATTTTTAATTGGTCTACATCGTCTTCCTTTTGCATGCAAAAATATGTCAAGTATACCAACCATAATCATCCTTGAGCAGGAGGCTTAGATGAAACAACCATAATGACTTACTTTGGCTTGCATCGATCATTCTATACTTGACACGAGGTGATACCCTTTTATAACTTGGTTGCGTGCTTATATAGTGGTCTTCACCACGGACTTGGAATTGAAGATTTGACCAATCTTGGGCCATGTTTGGCTACCACAAGTTAGCTTATTTTTTACCATATTGAAAAAGGACCGTGTAGTTCATCACAAGCTATCTTTTTTAAATGCTACTTGAAGTAGCGTTTAAATAAGCTCCACGGGCCTTTTTCTACTTTTTTCCAATTACGCGCCTTCCAATTAATTCTTTAACACGTCCTTTAAGATCTTTCTACATATCATCTACCTTATCAACTAGTTTTTTCAAAATAGGACTAACTTACCGTCTAACAGCCAACTTATTTAACAACTAGTTTTTCAGCTAACAACTAGCTTATCAAACATCGTCTTGGTATTTAGGTTGGATTCACCTACCTGACTGATGTGCTTAGGGGCCGCTTACCAAATGCTTACCCAAGTAAGTGCTTACCAAGTCAAATTACCTTACTGGATAAATATAGTAAGAACCAAAAATCTTATCCGGTAACAATGAAGACAAGGACCGAGAGTTTTACCCAGTAAGTGAATGATAGCCAAGAGAGCAACAACCCAATATCAGAGGAATAACCCAATGGACCAGATGACTTATATTATCAACAACCCAAGCCTTGGAAGGTTTATGTGAGGAGAAGGTTCAAAGGACAGGTGTAGGGTGGATATGAATTCGGTTATGCATGCATGAGAAGAGGAGGGAAACAATTAAATAAGGATATTCTGTTAGAAGGTAGTACGTATGTTTTTACCTTTGAATGTATTTCCTTTGGCTCTGTGAGCTTGGGCAGTAGAGATAACCATTTGGGTTAATCTTACTGATCTTCCAATTGTTTCCACAACATCCTTTCAATGAATATAGCTAATTCCCTTGGCCTTGAGTATTCTCTGTTTTCAGTTCCTATCAGTGAGGGCGACGAATCTTACCAGGTTAGCGCTTACCGGGTAAATTGTTGCATAGGATACCGTTTTGATGGACTAGAATATTACCTAGTAAGCAAGTGATAGTGTTGAATTTTACCGGTAAGTGCTTACATGAGTAAGCGTTTGGTAAGCGGCCCTTTAGTCTTTACTGCCAAGGAAGAGCCCCTTCAAAGGATTTGACCAACCTAGTAAGGGGTGATTGTTCTTTGGTGTTAAGGAATCACTTCTGGATTGACTATTGATTCATAGTCACTCATTTACTTGATTAGACTTGCTCCAAAACTAAATTTAGCACCATTTTACTTGCCATCAAATGAAGAAGTTGACATACTAAAATAAGACAACCATGAATACTATCAAGAAACGAAATAACCTACCTGTTCAGCAGCTGGAAGCATTTTTCTCAATTGGTCACAACCGTCTTGCTCTAAAAGACAAAATATAGAGCAAGGTAATAGTTAATTCGTTGCCACTCAAGCAGATAGGAAAACAAAATTATAACTAGCAGATACTCCCTTCATTCCCAAAATAATGTCCACAATGAAAAAAGGCACACAGTTTAGAAATGTTATTCAACTAAATGACAATGTTACCCTTTCACAAAGAGGAAGTAATGAATTTCCCCATCTTATAATTAACGGGTAGAATTGGAAAGCAGGTACTTACTTTTGAAAGTGGACAATTATTTTGGAACAAACTAAAATGGAAATGTGGACAGTTATTTTGGAACAGAGGGAGTAGTTGATAAAAAGCACTTGCAAGCAATGATTATGCAACAAAAGGAGTACCCAAAAAGAACTAAATGGTAGAAATTTGTGAAAAGTGATTTTAGCGAGTGTAATTTACACAAGGGTGCGTACATCAAATGCTGGAAAGGTGTTACTAATATCTAGGAACCCTAAAGGGTTCACATTCCGAGAGTTTATACTGGGCTTCATTTTAGCCACCTAAACAAGCAGAATTTACAAAAAGGACCTTTAGATTGGAGTGAGGTGCAAAGATGCGATTTCATCTTGGAATCTAATTCTAAGGGGTTGTTCGGTAACGGCTTGATGGGTTGTATAGCATGTATGGCTTATTCGCTAAGCCATATGTAAGTGTTCGGAAGTGACTTAATGAGCCAGAAAGAGGCTGATTTGCTCAACCCAAAAAGGGGAGTCATATCCACTCAGCCATTTTTTTACTTCTTACCCTTTGTAAAACACTCCCCTAATTAAACAAAAAAACAATCAGATCACTTTTTCTCCCCTAGATCCAACATATTCATCTCATTCTCTCCCTGCCAAGGCTCTCCGACGATTCTCCAAGGTTTCGGTCCCTTAGCATCCTTCTCCGGCCGGTCTCCAAGGTTGTCCGACGATCTCATGGTTCCTTCTCCAGCAATCTCCTAGTTCCTCGTGGAGAAAACCGGCAATCTCCTGGTTCATTTTCTGGCAATCTCCCGTTCACTTCATGTCGTCTCCTACCATTGTTCAGTTCTTCATCTCTTCGATTCTTCATCTTTTCAGTTTGGCTGTAGAGAACGATCTGATCTTGTTTTTAAGCTTTGGTTTCTGATCTTGTATATGGGTTTTGGGTTTTGGTTTGGTTACCAATCTTATTTTTTTTCTTTGGTTACAATCTTGTAAAAAAGTTTGATCTACATAAATTTGCTTGTTATTCATAATCTGGTTTCTAGATTTGCATGTTATTCATAATATGGGTTCTTGATTTGCTTGTTGTAATTAGGTTGATTTACAAAAAGTTGTACAAAAATGTGTTTGTTGTTCTTGGATATGGGTTATTGATTTGTTGTATGCAATCTTATTGATCTTTAATGTTGTTTAAATCAAAGGGTAAAATAGTCAGTTTCATTATTCAGATTTTTATTCAGCACAACAACCAAACAACAATTTAGATATATCACTACAGACAACTTTATCTATACAGACAACTTTATCCATACAGGACTTAATGGAAAACCAACCGAACAACCCCTAAGTGTGTGAGATTAACAGAGTTCTCTAGTTGAAAATGAGGGCTGATTCCTTCTAATTAAAGTTTTAAAGTTCCATCCTCTCCAACCCACATTTACATCATCTAAAACAGTCTATGTATCTTGGGGGATGTTTCCCTTACAGCATGACCCTCTAGCTGATACATGGCTAACTATGTTTTAATGTGGTACATAGGCCATGTTTGCCAAACTATAAGCTAGTTGATAAAGTAGTCATGTTTGGTATGAACTAGCTAGATGACAATGTAAAGTTATCTAAAAGGACATGTTAAAAAAGCTAGCGACTAGCTTATAAGCTGCCTTATGGCTAACCAAATGGGGCTTTTTCAATAAGCTAAAAGAATAAGCTACCTTATAAAAGTATAAAACATGGCCATTATTGATCTCACTTGAGCGTTATTGCCCCTTACACTTTGACTAACAATTCCTTAATCCTTTGAAAGTAGCATTGATGTTGAAGATGTTCAGCTTTCTAATCCACGGAGGATAATAATAGGAGAGATGATTGAAAAGCCCAAAATCATGCAAATCTGAATCAAATCTTCAAGAATTAAGAACAAGATGAAGATTAGAGAGAAATGATCACCAAATCTTTCTTTGTATTTCTTGAGAGAGAATTACAGCACTAATCAGATTGATTACAGAAAGTTAATGACAATTACAAGGCTAATGACTATTTATACTAAGGAAAGCATTAAACCTATCTATTACAAAACATATTAAAAATGGAGAACTTGAATACAATCTTTAACGCACATACTTGAACCCAACATTCTCCCCCTTTGGATTCAAGTTCGAACTCTCGTAAATCTTGTCTTTCTGAGTCCGAGAATTGTCTCCAGCCTCCTTAGTGCATTCCGATATTGAATTTTTCTCCTCAAGTAGATTCAGGGCATTGATCAACAAATATCTATCTTTTGAACTCATCCTCTCCGACTCCACAGCTTTATCATTATTAACTCTCCTTGAATCCAGTGCCCGTCTCACCATTCGAATAGTCCCATCAGAGAACTTGTTCAGCTCACTAAACCTCAAAAACTTCTTTATTCGACCTTCAGCATCGTATATTACCCCAAACTCCGGTTGTTCAAGAATTATATAAAGCGGATAAGCTTCAATGTCTTCCAGCTCTTGATTAGGTCTCTTCAAATTAATAATTCTTTGATTATCTTCAAGTCCCATTTGGACATCAATAACCATAACAACTTTAACGTGACTGCGCATAAACCTTTTTATTGCACTAAGGGCAACAAGAGCTCCATCTTTTCTGTTTGTCATGTTCCGGATTTCATGGTACATATACTCCAGGTCTTCTAAATATAAGTTTGAGAAGCCAGCTTCACTAAATCTCCAGAACTTACCATCTTGTCGTGTCACCGTGAATACCGGATACCAGATTCTGAGAAGTCTTTGAGCATCAATTTGTTTAATTGGCACAACTCGATGTTTGGTCCTTACTTCACTGATAGGGAGACATTTGGCTTTAAGGAAGTGCTTGTACTCCAAACGATATTCTTTGGTTTCCTTGTGGATACCAAGAATCTTATCACCACTTAGAGCTTTGCGATGCCGGAAGAAGATGCCAAAATAGATGTCTTCAAGATAAAGCTCTCGGATTCTAGCCCTGTCATATCCTGGAACATTGGCACGAATTTCAAAAGGCACATAATTCTTCGTAAAAATCTCGGTCGGATCAAATGGCTTTCTGGGAGTATCGGATGCACCGGCTTCAACTGCAGTGGATGGTTCCGGCAATGTCTGACGATCACCCTGAAATGGGAATATTGGGTCTTCATCATTGATGTCAGCTTCAAAGTCAAAGTATAACCCAGATAACTCGTCAGTATTCTCAATATCTTCTCCGAAATCTTGTTCTCCACCCAGTACAGTAGCAAAAACGTCATTAAATCATTGGCCGACAAGTCCAGTAGCAACCTTGTTCCTACCGTGGAGTCCGCCGGCTTTTCAACCATTTGCTCGATCGCTGGACTTGTCTCCAACTCTTCATCATCTTCTACAACAATCGCCTCAATAATTCTTTCCCTTGTAGATTCCGGGGCAGAACCTTCAACATTAACGTCTTGAGTAGCTGGCTCTCTTCAACACTTAGAGCTTGAGCAGACGACTCAACCACCCTTTGTCTTTTCCTCTCCCCCTCATGATGATCTGGATCTTCCGGGTCATCATGCCTTCGTTTGAGTGTGGTGGCCTGAGCTTTGCAAGTCTCTTCTAGGATAGATACCCGTTCAAAAAGGGCATCAATTGAGCTTTTAAGAACTTGTGTGTTTGATGTGATTAACTTACTAACTTTGGTGAAGCTAGAAGCAACCACATCCTGAAAGGCCAAAAACTCAGAGGCTCGAACAGGGGGGTTTTCATCAATTTGATGTCGCAGAAGCCCAACCAAATCTGCATCTTCTACATCGGGATTTTGGGATGCCATCAATTTAGCATATAGCAGGGATTTGAGCTCGTCCACCGATTGCTCTTGTACCTTCGGAGGCTCAATTTATCTTTCGAACTTGATGAAGTTGAGGAAGTACTATCAGATGAAGTATTGTGCTGATCAGAGGCTCCCCGTTGTTCAATTAATTCGAAATCGAACTTTTTAGAAATTTTACAGGTAAATGGAGGATATTCAACATCAGTCTGACGCTATGCTGTAAAAATCTCGATATATCGTCGATATATCGACGATATATCGTATATCGGCCGAAAGAAAAATATCGCTTCCTAAATATCGCCCAAAATATCGTTCCCGATAATATCGGCGATATTGTCMGATATTTTCCCGATATGTAGCGATATTTTGTAGTAAATATCGACCGATATCTCGATATTTTATAGGGTACAATTTTTTGGGCTTCTCTTATTTTAGGGGCTTAGATTTATTGGGCTTCTCTTATTTTATGGGCTTAGATTTTTTGGATAAGTTAGGTCTCAAAAAACTGGCCACCATCTCTCCTTCACGCCAACGGTCTGCTTCGCTTCCATTCCCTTTCTTTTCATCTTTGCGACTCGACTTCAGTTCACAATTCATCTTTTCACGAACGAACGAGTAATCGACCGACAGCAACAACAGCAAGTCAGCAATCGACATCAAGTCAGCAACTATGCTGTAAAAATCGCGATCGACAGCAAGTCAGCAACAGCAACAGCTCCAGCCTCGAGGTCCTTGGTGACTCCCTGAGTTTTCTGCTCAAT